TTCAAAGTGACATAATTGACAAAAAAAAACCCAAAAAACAAGGACAAAGCAATACAATACAACGTTTGAAGACGTCTTGAGCCCAAAATGTCCGAGCCCAACTCAGATTTTCTAACAAAAACCCGTTTGATTCCCGCGAAAAATTATCAACTGCATGGTCTCCCTCCACGGGAAGATACGGACCCTGATCACCTGCCACGTGCCTGAATCACCATCCACGTGTCCATGAACAAAGCCACCTGGCTCTAACTTTTTTTTTTCGGGGATTGAAACGCATGAGCTTTATTGTTTATCTGATCCGCATACCATCACATACTTCTATATAGATCCTCAACCTCCTCACTTCATTGCAATCCATTCACTTTTCTTACAATGTTGAACAAATCTTCAAACCAACAACCATTTCCGTTTACCTTCTTCATCTTGCTTTTCATTGGTCTGTCTTTGCCTGCTGCAAAGGCAATATTGAGCAATGAGGAGCAATTTGGCTCAGGTGCTTCTGCTGCTGCTGCAGGGTCTCTGGTGAAGAAAGATCAACGGAGAGCATTGGTTGTGACAGAGTATGGAGAGATCTCATCCATTGATATCAGTGATGGGCACGGAGGGCCCTACCATATTCAGTTCATCACCTTGGAACCCAACTCTCTCTTCCTTCCAGTACTTCTCCATGCAGACATGGTCTTCTATGTTCATACAGGTGCTCTAATTATACTTTTTATTTGTTTATTATGTGATTTGGGTTTTTGTGTAATCTTTGTTTTGGTGGGTTTAGGCAGTGGGAGGTTGAGTTGGGGTGATGAGGATGACATTAAAAGGGTGGCTATAAAGAGAGGTGATCTCTTTAGGCTCAGGCCAGGCTCTGTTTTCTTTGTACAGAGTGACTTACAGGCTGAGCGCCAGAAGCTTAGAATCTATGCAATCTTTGCAACCAACACTGATGATGACTTATATGTAAGACCACCTGTTTCTCTGCTTCTTTTTCTTTTCCTGATTCAATGGATATTTTCATTCACTGGTGTCCAAATTTTCTTTTTTCTGATACCAAAACTTGTGCAGGACCCAGCAATAGGAGCATACTCTAGTGTTAGGGACCTGGTCCGAGGCTTTGATCCGAAAGTGCTTCGATCAGCTTTTAAGGTATGAACTACTTCGACTACTTTGCTGTAAATTGTAATCATCCTGTTATCTGTCAGAAATAATTGTGAAGATTTTGGTTTTTGCTGGTTTTCTGACTACTAAACAATGTGGTTGATTAGGTCTCTGATGAAGTGATAGAATCATTAATAAATGGAACAGACCAATCAGGCATTGTACACGCAGTGCCAACAAAGAAAGAAACTTTCTGGGATTTGGAGGCTCGGTTCTTGAAAACCTTCCTGACAGGCAAAGATGGCATTGCATTCAACAAGAACAAGAAGAAAACAAAGACCTATAATATTTTTGATGAGGACCCAGATTTCAAGAACTGCAATGGTTGGAGCTTAACTGTGAACAGGAAAAACTCCCAGTTGTTGAAAGGATCAAACATTGGTCTTTTCATGGTGAATTTGACAAAGGTCTGGTTCTGTGGTATTTAGCTTGATCTTATGTTAATTAGAGTCTAATTAATTTGATGCCTAATTCTAAAACTTGCTTTGTTATTGAAGGGGTCAATGATGGGGCCTCATTGGAACCCAAGGGCAACTGAGATAGCAATAGTGCTAAATGGGCAAGGGATGGTTAGGGCGGTTTGTTCTAGCACTGCAGCAAAGAAATCAGAGTGCAAAAGCATGAGGCTTAGGGTTCATGAAGGAGATGTATTTGCCGTGCCGAGGTTCCATCCAATGGCTCAGATGTCGTTTAACAATGACTCCCTTGTGTTCATGGGTTTCAGCACAACAACGAGGAGAAACTATCCTCAGTTTCTGGCTGGAAAATACTCTGTTCTGCAGAGTTTGGACAAACAGGTCTTGGCGGCGTCGTTTAATGTTAGCAACACAACGGTTGATCAACTTTTGGC